ATTGGTTTGTATTATTTAATTACATGAATAATATTAAAGATAGTGGGGTTGAGTTAAAGTTGAGTTAAATTTTGAGTTGAAATAAAAGTGAGTAAATTAATCCATAAACAATCAAGCCCTTACCCACCTAACTCAGGCCGCTCGCAAAGCAGTTTGGTAGCCCCTTGTTTTATTTTTATTTTTATTTAACTAGTGCTATAAACGAACTGAATCGAACTGAGCTTGGATTGTTCGAGCTCGTGTTCGTTTATGTTCGAACAGTGCTCGTATTCGTTCGTTTATTTTTCTAGCAAAAAATATGTTCGAGTTCGTTCGTTTAATTGTTCGTTAAAGTTGAAGTTCGCTCGTGTTCGAATAATTTAATATATAAACTTTTTAACTATGTTTGATTAACTCAAAATTTGTTCATTCGAACTCGAAAAATAAAAGAATAAAATAACAATATTTTTATATTTTAGATTTTCTATTAAAAGCAATATGTAAATATATAAAAAATAAATAAAATTATATTAAATTTTATATTTTTATTAAAAATTTAATATAAATATATAAAAAAATAAAATAAAATTATATTAAATTAATGTTTGCGACATAATCGAACGTTCACGAACGCGCTCGTGTTCGTTCGATTTTTTAACGAGCTTAATTTTTTGTTCGAACTTGGCTCAATTAACAAACGAACGAGCTTTGGTCGAACACGAACGAGCTCGAACGAGCTTTTGTTTGCGAACGTTCGGTTCGTTTACAGCTCTAATTTTAACCAGTGTACCACGGCCATGTGCACCTTGCTATTGCATTTAATTATTTTTTATTTTGTGTTGTTTTTTTTATTTTATTTTTTTGCTTGCTAGTTATTTTGCAGGAAAACATTTTAAGTTTTTCAATACCTTCTAAAATCGATTTTTGACATTCTTGTCTATTAAAATTGAGTAATACGACATTGTCAACCTAATGTACAACGAAGTTGACAACACAAGTTAAAAACATACATAAAAATAAAAATAAGAACTACACAAGTGAATGTTCCCACATGTGTTGTCAACCTAATTGTAAACTAGATTGTCTATGTATCATTTTTCATTAAAATTTTAGAGTTTAACTCAGTTAACGATTATGTTTTAATCACATTTTAAAATTAATTTAGGATTTTGGAATTAAATGTTAAGATAAATAAATGAGATATGATTTATTTATTTCAGATAATTATTCGATGAAAACGCAAGCTGACATATATACACAGAATATATATATATACATATATATATATATATATATATATATTTAAATTTCTCGACATTCAAAATATTTAATTTTCAATTTGAAACTGTCAGATTTCTTACAAGACATTTTTTTTTTCTTCTTAGTAAAGTAGGTTCTTAAAAGATTCACCAAAAATTTGATTGCTAGCTCGAAAAAGCTTGGTATTTACGAATTTGTTCTACTATTGAGCAAAATCATAACCACTAACGTAATTACATACTAATAGAATATCAAATATCATGGGAGAAAGTACATCAGGTACTTGTTTATTTTGAACTATCAAATTGAAGAAAACTAAAATTGAGTAGATGAAGATATGTTTATACTCCAGTTTTTGCTTGCTGTATTAGTTTGGTGCCGTCTAAGGCTCAAATGGCCATAGATTCTGGAGCATAAGTTGGTCTGAGAGCAGGCTATTTTATCAAAGACTTCTAAAGCATGAGCAAACTATACCATGCACACTCCTTAAGTTGGTCTGAGAGCAGGCTATTTTATCAAAGACTTTTAAAGCATGAGCAAACTATACCATGCACACTCCTTAAGGTATCATGCATATGAACTGGTTAGAACATGAGAAAACCAAGAAGAAAAATATGTAAGGAATGAAATTGAGATCGCCTCTTGAGTCTCAACCATTAACATGCTGAGAATGCTCGAATTCTTGAAAGGAGTTCAGCAAACAATCGAAAGTTTCCACACATCATTGATGGAATGGCACTGCCAATTTTACCTGAAAATCAACACTTCATGGTAAGTTGCCAATGGTATTATTCATTGAG